TCACATAAGAATTACAATATTTTTAAATACAAATAACTATATGACTTCTTAAGATAAACATCAGATAGCATTTTCTATTTAGATCCCAATTCGAAAGTTTTAACCATCAATAACCGAGATTTTGTCATTTCCAGTTTTCGGGTTTTCTGTCTTAAAACATATATTCAACCAAAATTACCCAAATATTAATATTGATAACTAAAGGACTTCACAAAATAAACATAAAATAGTATGTTTTTTTTCTATATAGATCAAATTTCAAAAATATTAACCATTAACAATGGAGATTTTCTACGTTTCCAGTTTTCGTTTTTCACTAAAAATCACTCATTTCACCTCAAAATTACTTCATTATGAATAATAATAACTAGAGGACTACATAATAGTCTATTAAGATAAGGTTTCCTGTCTTCAACAAGCTTTAGGTCTAAAAATGTAACCATAGATAACAATTTTTCTTTTTTTCCAGTTTTCAGCATTTTTTCTCTAAAAAACACATATTTCACCCAAAAATAACCTTTTCCGCAAATTATGTCAATGTATAGTTTTAGTATGTTGTTAGTACAAGTCTATGTTATAATTTGCACTAAAAAAACCTTGTGTTGCAATTAGTTGGAGGTTGAGTGATTTTAGAGCTAAATTGACTAGGCTATTTATCAGTTTTAATTCGGGGCAAAAATAATTTAAATACAAGGCTTGAATATTGAACTCTATTTTCATTTATCAGTACCAAAATAAACAAAAAAACACAATAGAGAACGCAAGCTGACCAATTCTAAAAAAATACACAATTAAAAAATAAAAGCAATTTTACAGGTGAAAATTGTTCATTTTATCTTGAATATAATTAAATAAAACTAAACAATGGTATTTTGTGAAGCCTGCAACTTTTGTCGCAGAAAGCTTGTCATAGGGATAGTGAGGCGGCGGCGGTGGTGGCAGAGGCCGCGGTGGTGGCGGCGGCGGCGGCGGCGACTGCGTTAACTAACTTCTTAAAAGCTTAATATTACAGATGGTAGAAGACCTGGATGCTTCATACTTGGTATATAGATGCCTTATGATATGAAGTTTCTGTCTGTCATATGTCCATTGTCCTTGAGCTCATTTTCATGGTTCAGTGACTACTTGAAAAAAAAGTTAAAATGTTTTGTAATGTTAATTTCTTTCTTATTATGAGTAATACAATAGCTATATATGGTATGTGCGTACCTTGCAAGGTCCTCATGTCTGTCAGATAGTTTTCACTTGACCTCGACCTCATTTCATGGATCAGTGAACAAGGTTAAGTTTTCGTGGTCAACTCCATATCTCAGATACTATAAGCAATAGGTCTACTATATTTGGTGTATGTAATGATTGTAAGGTGTACATGTCCAACTGGCAGGTTTCATCTGACCTTGACCTCATTTTCATGGTTCAGTGGTCATAGTTTAGTTTTTGTGTTTTGGTCTGTTTTTCTAATACTGTATGCAATAGGTCAACTATATTTGGTGTATGGAAATATTTTACGATGTACACGTCAGTCTGGCAGGTTTTATTTGACCTTGACCTCATTTTCATGGTTCATTGCTTATGTTAATTTTTTGTGTTTTGGTCTGTTTTTCTTAAACTGTAAGCAATAGGTTAACTATATTTGGTGTATGGAATGATTGTAAGGTGTATGTGTCTGTCTGGCAGGTATCATTTGACCTTCACCTCATTTTCATGGTTGATTGGTCAATATAGAATTTCCATGGTTTGGTCTGTTTCTTTTATACTATATATTTGTAACAGTATTCTAATTAGTGTATAAAAATTTCTTGCCAAAAATTTTTTTATTACCATAAAACTAATTTTTTGTCAGCTAAATTTTTTCTTCTTGACCTAAGAAATGACATGGAAAATGTACCAAAGATTCCAGTTCATTTGCTGAATATATAACTCAAGATTTGTGATAAATTCCCCTGCGAGGAATTCAAGAACTGTTCTTAAAATGTTCAAGAACTGTTCTAGGACCTAATTCTTGAAAAGTTCATGAACAGTTCTTGAACATTAAATGGCTCATCAAGAACTATTTTGAACTAATTTAAGAACTGTTTTGAACTAATTCATGAACTATTTTGAACTAATTCAAGAACTATTTTGAACTAATTCAAGAACTATTTTCAATTAATTCAAGAACTTTCTTGAACTTGTTCTAGAACTCTTCAAAAAATTTTCTAGAACTTGCTAGAAATTTTTCCTGCCATGGTCAACCAGGTTTTCTACCATGTTCGAACCAGACTGTCTGTATAGATATGTAAACTTCTCTTCCTTTCTGTATCGGGACTACCAACTATCAATGCTGAGTTACAGCTATATAAAATTAAGGAGATGTAGTATGATTGCCAATGAGACAACTATCCACCAAAGTTCAAATGAAGTGGATGTAAGCAATTATAGGCAACCGTACGGCCTTCAACAATGAGAAAAACACATACCGTATGGTCGGCTATAAAAGTCCCTGACATGAAAAATATGAAACAATTCAATTGAGAAAACTAACGGCCTAATTGATAACAAAACAATTAACGAAAAACAAATATGGCAGACATGAACACAACGACAACCACTGAACTACAGGCTCCTGACTTTGGACAGGCATATAAAGAATGTGGCAGGGTTAAACATGTTTGTGAGCGCTAAACCCTCCCCCTAACCTGGGACAGTGGTGTACCAGTACAACATAAGAACAAACTATAAAAATCAGTTGAAAAAGGCTTAACTCATCAGATAGATACAAATAGAAATATATCTAACAAAAACACAGAGTGGACTTGGACAGGTACTTATACATCCCCACAACAAAAAGACACTAAGTACAAATCTGAGAGTACTCACAGTTACTGACAGCTAGTTCAAAGCCAATAACAACTAATAAAAAAATCATGTATCTCGTTTACCAATTGCTTTTCGAGATCATACTAATTTACCATTGCTTCAGGAATAGTTGGGCCTGTGTGCATAAAACAAAAGCCCTACTTATTAAGCGCTGATTGGTTAATTCAAAGTTAGCTATGAATCTCATTGGTTAATTAGTATGATCTCGAAAAACAATTGGTAAACGAGAAGCACATGCGGCAGTTACTGGAAAACCCCATTGCTGATTGGTTAAAAACCTAGACATGCGAGTGTCCCCAAATAACTACTGACCAGCATTCCAAAACGTATTATGTATTAATACTCTATTTAAATAAAATAGTTCCAATGGGCAAAATTTAGATTAGAAGTGGGACCAAACAATATAGATAACAGAATATTAAAAGAGGTGATGAAATATAAAGAATAGATTGATTGATTGTTGGTTACTTAACGTCCAGTGGAAAATATTTCATGAATGTTTAAGACGAATATATAGTAGTGATCAATTGCCAGAAGAATAAAGAATAGGGTGAAATGGTAAAAAATTAAAAGATATAGAACTATAGAAACGATGATCTGACAACCCCCACTATTACCACCCACACTCGCATATATACATCTCTAAACAAATATTTAATTTTGGTTTCATGGTGCTTTGCTTTGTATGCATCAGTCACTTTGCCTCACATGAAAATGTGCAAGCAGGGAGGGCCCTTGCTGACATATCATTTTTGTAGTTTATTTCTTCAAAGGGATTTGTCTTTGCAGATTTGAAGGGTCAATCCTGTTTACAAGGATTTATTTTTATGCCCCCGCCGTAGCGGAGGGGGCATTAAATTTTACCCTTGTCCATCTGTACATACGTACGTACGTCCCAAAATTGGTTTCCGTTCTCTAACTTTAGTTTGCCTCAACCAAATGTTATGAAACTTATACACAATGCTAATTACCACAAAACACAGATCAAGTTTGAATTTTGGTGGCGTCCCTTTACCGTTCTAGAGTTATGCCCCTTTACAATGGGAAATTAAATTGCTGAATTTATCGTTTCCGTTCTCTAACTTTAGTTGGCCTCATCCAAATGTTTTGAAACTTATACATAATGCTTATTACCACAAAACACAGATCAAGTTTGAATTTTGGTGGCGTCACTTTAACCATTCTAGAGTTATGCCCCTTTAGAAATGGAAAAATTGCAAAATTTTTATTTTCTTCTAAATATCAAGTAATTTTCAAAATTGGAGTTATCTTCCTTTGTCCATGATTATAGTTGAATCAACTACAATCAATGCTTTATACAATGCAATGTTTAATTTTGACTTCCACTGATAAAACACAGATCAAGTTGAATTTGGGTAGTGTCACTTTAATCATTATTGAGTTATGCCCCTTTATAAATCGAAAGATTGCAAAATTTTTACTTTCCATTCTGTAACTTAAGTTTGCCCCAACCAAACATTATGAAACCTATACACAGTATTCATTACCACAAAACTAAGATCAAGTACAAATTTTTTGTTTCAGTTTTCTAACTTAAGTTTGCCTCAACCAAATGTTATGAAACTTATACACAATGCTTATTACTACATAATACAGATTAAGTATGAAATTTGGTGGCAACACTTTTACCATTTTTGAGTTATGTCCCTTTATAAACATAAAAATTGCTGAATGTTTTGTTTCCGTTCTCTAACTTTAATTTGTCTCAACCAAATGTTATAAAGCATATACACAACCGTTCTAGAGTTATGCGTGTTAACAAATAGAAAAATTGCTGAATTTTTAGTTTCTGTTCTCTACTTAAGTTAGCTTCAACCAAATGTTATGAGACTTACACACAATGCTTATTACCAAGTTCAAATTTGGGTAGCATCACTTTTACCGTTCTTCAGTTATGTCCCTTTATAACTATATGATATGCAAGCGGGGGGCATCATCTGTGTCCACATGTGGACACTATTCACATTTATTTGGTATTCTTTTCCTTGATCCTGATCTCCCTTACCATCATATTGATGCTATGAAATTTTTTGTCTTTATTGTCAGAATTAGAGTAATAAAAATTTGCTTAAAAAAATTTTCCAATTAACAATAAAAAGATATTGTTTGATTTCTTTTAGGTGCAGAATCTGACTGTGTTTAGTATGGAACTGTTAGCAGATAGTAGAGGGGATCTATTTTCAGATCCAGAAATAGATGCCATAAAGGCAATCTTCTACACTATACATAATGATGTGAATAGTGAAAAAGGCCCTAAAGACATAACAGGGCTTATAATGGTTGATGCGGAGTCTACTAAGATTCAGGAAGAACTGAGAAATTCTGCAAAGAGTAAAGAGTCCTCACATCTGTCGACATGCAACAATCAAAACCCATCAACTTCAAGAGATACAACCAGTTCATCTCTTAGACCTTTATCAAAATTTGTGTCACATGAGCCTTCAAATTTGAAAGATAATAAGAGAAATTTTACACCACTTCTTAAGGATACTGTAAAAAGTGACCAGTTATCAAAATTGCAAACAAACACTTCATTTTCTGGTGTACATTTAAATCAAACATTACTACAAAAATCAGGGATTGATGAAAATTTGCAGGTTGTGTATGTGGAAACAGAGATGGGTCTTTTTAATGAATTTAAGGATTTGATAACAAGGTAATATATATCTTTATCATACATGTGTTAATTACCATTTTAATTTCATTTTACCTAGTACAATCCAATATGTAAAATAAAGGAATGTATGAGCACAGCAGGGGCAAATCCTTTATTTAACAAATTGGTTCATATGTTAATATGGATGGTAGCTGACTCAGGTGCTCCAGAAGAGTAAGTAGTGTTCACTTGTGGCACCTGTCATGTTGCTCACTGCAAGTAAAAATTCAGTGATAATTGGATTTGGTGATGTAACAATCCAGGAATAAGACAAGAATTATTGCTACGACAAGTGGATCATAGCTGTGGTCGTTCCATAAATATCAACAAAATCATGATTGCATCTGATTAACTTTCGAATAAATGACTTCGACTTAACCATTAGGGACCAAGCTTGGTTCAATAGTTTCATAGTAAGCAGCAACCCTCTATCAAGGAAAGCATGATAGGAAGGTAAGCCCTGGAATATCTTTAAAACATTTACTCCATATGCAGGTGCTGCTGGAATGTTGCCACACAGAAATGGAACGTGTTTAATGTGAAAATTGAAATCATCTTTTTTTGTTGTAAAGTTAAGCTCTCATCACCGCCATTATCAATGTCTAGATGTAGGTCAAGATTTGAAGCAGACTTAACCGTTTTGTCCTTTACTTTAAGTTTAATTGGTTATATATCATCATCTTTGAAATATTAATGAGAAGACATAATCTATATAGCAAAACCTGAAGTGACATTAAATGGAAATACTAACTTCTTTTCATTCTTCTTGAGAAGCTCCTATTTGAAGTCTGCCTCATACAAATAAAAGAACAAATTGGCAAGAAGGGGAGCATAGTTGGTTCCCATAGGAATGCTGATTATCTGTTGAAAGGCATGTCCTACAAAAGTAATGTTTATACATAATTCTCCAGATTAGAAAATACCCCACTTAAACAGAACTCTGTTAGAGTTTGTATGTTTGGTACTATGATGGACTTAGTGTTGTATGAAGATTTGTCTCATTGGCACTCATACCAAATCTTTTTATATCTATTAGCTTAATCATTGCAAAATATATCATCAATAAGATTAATTCCGCCTACGACTAAGGGCACCAGTATGTATGAGAGTGTGTGTACTGTCGCTTGTCCTGAATAATCTTGGCAAACCAACATATACCAAAACTGCAATTACTAACTGTATATAACAAAGATAAGATATAAAACTAAACTATTTATTAAAACAAAAAACTAAAACTCACTAAGGACTAAAACATTTTCATATAATATAAAAAACATAGTTTATAGTAAAACATTTACATATTAATACCTTGATGTAACATTTGGCTTTCTAGGGGGCTACTCATTACAGTTTCTGACGAATAACATACACAAAATATATATTACTTATGCCTGTGGTAGATCTGAGCAGACAAAACATACAAAAAATATATATTACTTATGCCTGTGGTAGATCCGAGCAGACAAAACATACAAAAAATATATATTACTTATGCCTGTGGTAGATCCGAGCAGACAAAACTAATTTCGAGAACCTGTGGTAGATCCGAGCAGGTGAATGTGAATAAAAATAGATTCTGCGGTAGATCCCAGCAGGTTAATGTGAATAAAAATAGATCCTGCGGTAGATGCCAGCAGGTTACCTAATGCGAATAACAATAGATCCTGCGGTAGATGCCAGCAGGTGTACAAATGTACTTAATAATTTTAAATATGTATAAATGAATTGGGGGAAAATAATTTCCCTGAAATTATGTTGGCCAAAATGAGCGAAATTAATGAGTGAAAGCCCCCAAGAAAAGATACATCAGATATGATAAAAAACAATGAATAATAGTACCTTTAAAAAAAATACAAATTATATATATATTTAACCTCACATTTATGTACAAACAAATGTTCACTTAAAAACACATTTTATCTTGAGCTGCATGTATAGTGTTAGGGTTGGTTCTAATATAAGGCATGTAACAATCAGATGACCATCTACCTAAAGTTTGAATAATGTGGTCCTCAATTCCTGCAGCAGCTGCAGATGTAACTGCTCCTATTCTAAATGAATGCCCACAAAATTTATCATCTTTATACCCAAGTCTAAAAAGTAAATCTCGCAGCAAAGAAATAAAGCGATCCCTTGATAAGGGAGTATGGTCATAATCATCGTTAACAAACAAAGGCGACTGAGGCTTAGCTCCTAAATCAGTTCTGAATTTGATATAATTTCTCAAGGTAGCTACAGGGTGAAAAACATTGTTTTCAAAGATAGTAATATTTACACCTTGCCTGAATGGATCACACTTAGAAGAATGTAAATGGAAAACTAAATTTTTTAGTGACACATCTAAAGAAATATCTTGAATTGAAACAATGGTATCCTTAGAAAAGTCTTTACTACGACAAGTAAATTCTCCACATCGGAGGAATCCAAAAAAAGCTAAATTAAATGTGCTTTGTAGCATTAAATCAACCAATGGAGAAAATACCCCAGATCTTAACAAATTACATAGTTCTTTTAAAATCGAAGAAGTAATAGGCATTCGTTTAGGACGTATATTACACTGAGACTTTTTTAAACCTCTTAGAATGCACTGCAAATGAACAGTATTTGCTAGCAGGTCTGAATGACCCTGTTTTAAAAAATAGTGTCTTATACCTGCTAAATACAATTTAACAGTTGAATGTGCTAGTTTTAACGAATTTTTACAAAAGGCAACAAAAAAAATCAAACAATTTTCATCTATATATGGCAATGCATTTAAAAAACAGTCTTTTCCATTCATAACCATAAAGTTTTGAAAACATTTAACACCAGTCATATATGCCTGCTTTTTACTCTGACAAAGGCAGGCTTAATTCCCATAATTCCTCAACTTGTTGAATCAACTCATCATTAACTGGGATGGCTTCAGGCAAGGTGTTGGTTCTTGATCTGCCAGTGGTTGTAGTAAGCGAAACATCCTCATCTGATAACGAGAAATAGAGTCTGCTACAGTGTTTTCGACACCAGCAATATGTTGTGCATGAATGATGAAGTTATATAGAGCAGAAAGATAAGTTAGCTTCCTCATAAGTTTCATTATACTCTGGATTTTTTATCTTCCTTTAGAGATAATCTCTACGGTACTTAAATTGTCACAGTAAAATAATATACATTTTCTTCTCCAGTTGTGACCCCATAGAGCACAGGCCATCACTATAGGGTACAGTTCAAAGAAAGCCATAGACGTTTGTTCATTTAAAAGTTCTGGTGTAAATTTGCCTTGAAACCAACTTCCCTGATAGAATCCCCCGAAGGATTTAGGTGTAGCATCTGTGTAAAGTTGGATGTCTGCAGCTTTAATAATATTGTCATTAATGAAAAAGGATATTCCATTCCAGTTTTTAAGAAATTGAGACCACATTGCCAAATCAGATCTGCAATTCTTAATATGTACATGGTGTGACAATTTTTTAACAGTAGTTGAAAGCTTAACCAAGTGAGACACAAATGATCTGCCTGGTAAAAAAACTCTACTTGCAAAATTTAAGTGGCCTAGCAGACTTAAAAGTTCCCTTTTAGTACATGTATTGGGTTTAGAAAAAGATTCAATAGTTTCTTGAAATTCTTGCAATTTTCTCTTTAGGCAAACGTGCCTCCATCTTTATAGTATCAAGAAAAATGCCCAAATATTCTAAAATGACACAAGGACCTTCAGTTTTCTTTGTTGACAAAGGAATACCCAAAGATGAAAACATTTTTAACAAATTGCTCATAGTTAAATGAGCATTATCTGCTCTTGGTACAATAATTAAAAAATCATCTAACAAATGTAAAATATTTACAATACCATAGTTATTTCTAGCTATCCAGCAAACTGCCCTGGATAGTGTATCAAAAATTTTGGGACTTGATCTACACCCAAACACTAATCTCTTAAAAAAATAAAATTTTTGTTCCACTGTATACCATGATAAGGCCATAATTCTGATTTAAGTGGGATAATTTTGAACGCATCGCAAATATCTGTTTTTAGAAGCCAACTTTTTCTACCTAACTGCTTAATAATATGAGTAGCATCATCAATAGAAACATACTGCAAAGAAAATTCTTCCTTATCTATCAGTTCATTTAGACTTGGATTGTCCTCATCCTCATGTGGTGCTGAAAGATCAACAATTAAGCACTTTTTCTTACTATATTTATGTTCTGCTAAACCAATGGGGTTTATGCGATAGTTGCTAAAAGGAATATCATTAAAAGGTCCAATGAGGTATCCTTTCGACACTTCAGTTTCAAGTAATTCTGACACGCATATAGGATTTGTAGATGCTGACTTCAAATTTTTACAAATAATAGACTTTGATGGGAGAGTCTTTAACCCAGTGTGAAAACCATATCTTAACCCATTTATCAAATAATTTTTAAAAGCTGAGTCAGGATGTCTATATAACTCTTTTTCCAAAACATCTATATTTACAAGTGTAGAGACAGACATGTCATAATTTTGAGGTGTATCTAGTTTCTCCTCTGTGTGTGGGGCCCGTTCTTTTGAGGCCCCTGGAACTCGTTTTTTGTCTGCTGGCAATTGATTTTTGAATGATCTCCTTTACAAGCCAAACACACATGGGCATTTCTACAACGTGGCAGTATACATCCCCTGTATCCATTGAACTTGTTACAAATTTCTCTTCCAGAATGAAAAACCCTTTCCCTACCATATGTATCCTGGGAATCATCAATTTTATTTCTGGATGACCTTTGCGTGAGAGAACAAAATCCTGATGTGTGAAAGTTACTGCCGCAAACATTACAGGTGTTAGGCCTTATATTTGTGAATATATTACAGAATAATGTATTGTTCCTTATGGACCAATCAACTGCCATGTTATTGTAGCGTAAATGTGCAGCTGAATTGAGGGAAAAACGCTTATGGTATTCATAAAACCCATTGCCAGGGTATCGAGTAGCCATGTCTACAATGTCTCTCTCATACGTGTCGAGCTCACTCCTACGGTGAGGGA